AGGGCAGGCAAGAGTAGAAAATGAGGTCAGATCCAAACTTTAGAGGAGACTGCATTTCACACAGCTTTCTATGATTTCACTTCAGAACCAAGTGAATTTATTATCTTCCCCAAACTACCTTTTGCTGCAAAGAAACAATTAGGAAAATTTGTAGACTTGCTCATGAAAGGTGGCACACCTTTTCACACAGTGTATCACAAGTATCTATCAGTCTGACAGTTCACCTTCAACCTTTTTTAGAAACACAAAATACAAAATATTCCACTGTCTCTATCTCCCATAATTCAACAAGTAACTGATGAATATTTCATCATTTTTCACGGTCAAACAGTACTCTGTACATCTTATACTTGAAACACAATGTAATTGGTTGCCAAAGATAAGCTGTTAAAAGTGGACTGCCAGATAGACAAAGAACTCCACACTGAGCAGTCTTGAAGCAGGACTCTCTGGCTGCGCTGAGAGTCAGGGGCTGGAATGCCTGGTTCTATCCCTGCACTCACCAATCACTACTCTGGGTCTCTTCCTTTCCTGTCTATAAGTGTTTTGCCTGCATGTATATGTGTACCTTGTGTCTGCAATACCCACAGAGGCCAGAAGAGGGTGTCAGACACCGCCCCCCTGGGAATTGGAGTTACAGACGGTTGTTGGCCACCATGTAGGTGCTGGGAACCAAACCCAGGTCATCTGCAAGAGCAGCCAGTATGCTCTTGACTGCTGAGCCAGCTCTCCAGCCTCCACTTCTTGAATTAATAATGAAGTTCTTCCAAGCACTGACACTTGAATTTCTTCCCATCACTATCTCCTTTCAAGTTCTCAGCTATTGTTTCTAGTGGCACATTTCCTTCCTTCCTCCTTTCCCCTTTCCCTCCCCTTCCCTCTCCTCTCCTTTCCTTTCCTTTGTGTATGTATATGTGCAGGGGTTCATGCACGTATATACAGATGGAGGTCAGAAGACAAGCTCAAGTTAGACACTATCACCTTGTTTTTTGAGACAGGGTCTCACTAACCTGAAGCTCAGCAAGCAGGCCAGGCTGGCTGGCAGCAAGCCCTGGAGATCTGCCTGACCCAACTTCCCTGGTCCTGGGATTTTAAGTGTGTATTACCATGCCCAGATTTTTTACTTGAGTTCTGGGCTCAAGTAAGAAAAAGGTCCACAAGCATTTTATTGGATGATCCAGCTCCCATGACATTCTTTTCTTACATGTTTGTGTGAACTTTTGTTTTAATGTTTATGAGTGTTATGCCTGCATATAAGTGCACCCGTTTCAAGCAGTGCCCAAAGATGCCTGAAGAGGGCATCAGATCCCTTGGAACTGGAGTTATAGATAGTTGTTAGCCATCATGTGGGTGCTGGTATTCGAACCCCGGTCAGTCTGCAAGAGCAGCCAGTGTGCTTAACTGCTCAGTCATCCATCCAGCCCCCTTTTGTGAACCTTTAACATGTAAGCTTATGGTTTTTGGGCTGTACAAATTTTTTTGTTACTGTCTCAAACTCATGTATGATGTATAGCTTATTTATACTTCTATACTGAGTATTTCATTTTATGAAACTTAAAAATGATTTATTTCTATTAAGAGACACTTTATTTACAAATATATTTTTGTGTATGTGTAGTGTTTGCATGTGTGTATACTCACCTGTGCATGCCCATGTGGAGGCTAGAAGTTGATGTCAGGTGTCCTCTAATGTTCTCCACCTTTTTTTTTAAATATTTTATTTATTATTATTATTTTATGTGTATGCATGTATTGCCTGGATGTAGGTAAGTACACCTGTGTCATGAAATGCCCACAGAGGTCAGAAGAGGCTGTCGGATCCCCTGGGACTGGAGTTACAGATAGTTTTTAGCTGCCATGTGGGCGCTGGGATTCAAACCTGGGTCTTCCGCAAGAACAACCAGTGTTCTTAACTGCTAAGCTACGTCTCCAGCCCTCTCCACCTTATTTTTAATTTAAAAAAAATTTGGGGGTGTGTGTGTCTGTGCTGGATAGCTTTAGTGTCAACTTGACACACCTGGGTTGAAGGAGCCTCAATCGGGGAATTGCCTCTATTGGACTTGCTTGTGGCCATGTCTGAAGGGCATCTTCTTGATGAGTGATGTGGGAGGGCCCAGCCCACTGTGGGTGGTGCCACCCCTGGGCAGGTGGGCCTGTGTTGCACAAGAAAGCAGGCTGAGCAGGAGCCGAAGGAGCAAGCCTGTAAGCAGTGTTCCTCCATGGCCTGTGCTCCAGCTCCTGCCTCCAAGTTCCTGCCCTGAGTTCCTACCTTGGGCTCCCCGATGAACTGCATGCGACGTGGGAGATGTAAGACAAATAAACCCTTTCCTCCCCAAGTTGGTACTGGTCAGAGTGTTTTGTCACAGCAATGAAGTACAAACTAAGACAGTGTCTGTGCACACACGCGCACATATAATCAGGTTATCAGGCTTGACAGCAAGTGCCTTTACTTGCTGAGTCATTTCACCAGGACTCCATCTTATTTTTTGAGGCAAGGCCTCTCACTGAACCTGGAGCTCACTCTCTCAGCTAGACTGCCTTGTCAGAAAGCCCTGGATTTCCTCCTGCTACTTCTCACAGAGCAGTGGGATTACATACATGCCCTTACCACACATGGCTTTTATATGGGAACTAGGGATCTGTTCTTAGGTCCTTATAAGAGCTCAGCAAGTTCTTCACCCGCTGAGCCAACCCTCCAGCTCCAAGAGGGACTTTAGAATGAGCAGGGACGGGCTTCTGGGAACAAGAGGGAGACATTCTACACACACCACTGGTGTGGCTACCCAGCCCACTATCATTTCTTTCATGCTCATGCTTGTTTGTACTCCCAACCATTCCCACAGATCTTGAAGAAAAGCAGTTGGTTCCTTATCTGCCCCCACCTTCCTACCTAACTTATGGCTCTGCATGTGGCTCAGGTGAAGCCACCCAGAAGACTTCTCCAAGGTGTTTCTGGTCCCAGGAGAAAGATGCTATAAGCACATAAAGCTGGAACTGTCGGCAGCCACACTCCTTACCAAAGAGAGAATGGCCTGGGAGACTAAGCTGACATGCATGGAAGAGAGAACAAATGTAACAAGGTGACTTCTGGGCCCTGGCTCTAATAATCTCCAAGGCCACCTTCACCCTACTCTTCCCCACAGTCTGGTCTCCCTGCTACCACTGATCCAGGTTAGGATTCTACTACTTGAAATTAATTCAGACTGGGCAGTCAGACTCTTGTGGAAGTCAACAATGAAATGACCAAGGATAAAACATTTCAGTTTAGACATAAGAATGCTTAAGCTACCCCAAGCGTAGGTGGGACTCCTTCTAAACACAACTTTAGTTGAAACTTACCCTTAGGTATCATTATTTACGGAAATTAAAGCTATATATATATATACACTACATTTCATTTTTAGTGTTCTAAAACCTGCAAATATTAAATATAATTTACAAATATTTTATATAAAATGCCCCAGCAAGTATCTTGTATGTGTGTATGTATTTATGCATATACACACTTGTGGGTAGATCCATGTATGTACCATGCGTATGGAGGTCAGAGGTTGATGTCAGTTGTCTTTCTAAGTCATACCCTAATTTATTTTTTGAGACTGGGTCTTCCACTGAACCTGGTACTCACTAATTTGGCTAGGCTGGCTGGCCTGTGAACTCCAAGGATCTGTCTACCCCTGGTCCTGGGGTTCCAGATTCAAGCTGTCATGATTGGCTTTTACATGGTTGCCAGGGCTCTGAACTTGGGTCTTCATGATTGCATAAGCAAGCACTTTACCCACTGAGCTACGTACTGTAAGTACCATGCCTTTTAAAAATTATTAACATTTATTTATTTTTATTTGATGTGTATGAGTAGTCTGCCTACATGTATATGAGTGTATCCATGTGTGCAATACCTGTGGAGGCCAGAAGAGGGTGTTGGATCCCCTGAAACTGGAGTTATGAATAGTTGGTAGCTGCCATGTGGGTGCTGGGAACTGAACCTGGGTCTTCTGCAAGAATAGCCAGTGCTCTTAACCACTGAACCATCTCTCCAGCCCCCAAGTACCAAGTTTTTATCTTACATTTTCTTTCAGTCATCACATGCCTACAAGAGGATAAACCTGGGTCTATACTGCCCTACCACAAAAGGCAGGGTTAGCACCTGCAAGGATTTAAACAGCCTTCTTTTTGCAGTCTTGGAAAAACCCTGCTTCCTGAACCTGTTGTCTTATAACAGGAAATCAAATCTCAAACCACTCTGTCTAAAGAGCCTTATGAGAAGCAAATCTGATTAACAGGGCCCTGGTATTAGGTAGGGCACCCAACAGAAGAGAGTGATGCCTACTCAGCAAGACAAGCAGCATCCAGAACCAGACACTAGAGACACCAGCCTACCAAAAGACAACCTATGAGCCGTGTCTTTCTTTGGACTTGTTTTTTCTTTTCTTTTTTGAGAGTGTCTCATGGAGCCCAGGTTGCATCAAACCCACTATGTAGCTGAAGATGGCCTTGAACTCCTGATCTTACTCGTCTCCACTTCCCAGGTGCTAGAATTACAGGTGTTGGTTCCAACATCAGGTTCATGGAACCTGGGGCTTCATGCATGCTAGGCAAGTACTCTACCAACTAAGGTATACTTTCAGCTCCAGGAGGCCTGTCTGAGCCCTCAATGCATCAGGGAGAATGGATTTATTCTTACACTAGAGTCAGGGTCCCAAAAGGGACAGACAGTTTTTGTAGAAATTCAATGGACCTGACCATCAAGTCACAAGGAGCAGAAGAAGCAATGGGCCACTGCAGTGTTATGACTGCAGCAAGGCCTCCATGTTCACTGCTTGGAAACAACTCATGAAAATCTCACAGGAGGCATAGGGATAAATTAGCTTAGTGGTAGAATGCTTGCCTAGCATACCTATCCCTGGGTTCAATCCCCAGTACCACACAGAAAAAAAGAAGTGGAGGACAGGAAGGAGGAGGAAGAGGGAGGAAATCAGACACAAGGTGGAAGGTCTTACCCACGGAAGACTGGAACTGGGATGGAGCTGGGAGTGAAATGCTGGGTACCGACAGTGTGAAGACCTCGGCAGGGGACTGGACAGATGGGGTGTCTTCTGCTGGTGGGGTGAAGTCTATCTCATCATCAAAGTTGTCTTCAAATTCCTGAAACCAAAAGAAGCGAGTATGAAGCGCCAGCTGCCAGCACTGAAGGCAGAAATGGTTAGGCACATTTACAATGGCCTTCTGGAATTCATCCCATGCATATTTACTTCAAATAAAAGCCTGAGTAATTGTGATATCTAACTCTAAAGAACAGAATAAATAAGTTGGTGGGGTTTTTGATGTTTGTTTATGGAGACAGGGTCTCCTGTATCCCAGGCTGGCACTGAACTCACTATGTATCTGAGGCAGGACCTAGAACTCCTGATCCTTCTGCTTCCATTTCCTAAGTGCTGAGAATAATCTGCCTTGAGAATACATAAGATTGAAAATAAGTAACAAATATTTTATGTAATTAAAAAAACTGGTAACTGGGGCTGGAGAGTCAGCAGTTAAGAGCACTGACTGCTCTTGCAAAGGACCTGGGTTCAATTCCCAGCACCCACATGGTAGCTATCCTTAACTCCAGTTCCAGGGGAATCCGGTGCCCTCTCTTGACCTCTGAGGCATGGCTCACATACATGCGGGCAATACACTCATACAC